CGTACGCCGTATCAAACAATTAATGACTGCATCGAACAGGTACACACCAGCTATAACATTAGTAAAAATCAGATCCGCCCAAACGGAAGGCATAATATGCAGTACAGATGTGTGTATATACTAGTGATGCGCGGCCGGGTCGACCCGTGACCCGCCGGTACGGGCGGTTTTAGGGCAGATATTTTTAAATATCGTGGGTATGGGTGGGCGGGTCAAAAAAGTTACAAAACGCATTTCAATATCGATCAAAACGTGTTGTAAATGGGGTCGGCGTATATTTTTCAATTTTGGAGTTTTCAATTTGTAGGATAAGCTACTAGTTTGGTGAAATATAACGGTTAAGTATGGTCTGCTCTACTTCATTTTAGACAAAATTAGGTTAAAAGAAGACCTAAGTTCTACTAAGTTAATTCAAATCTGATAGAGTTCTCAGATCTGATGTTACATCAGATGTTACAGTTTTGACAACTAGTGTGTTTTTCATACATGCGCGCTTGTGTGTGTGCGAGAGAGATGTCTTTCGTGCAATTTTCCGCAACCCTTCAATAAATAACGACGTAAAAATCGATCTTTCGGTTTCTTTGTTGTTGCTTGGTACACAGTTAATCTTGCATATAATTGTGTCATCACCTTCAATCAGGGTACCCGCGGTCATGGAAAACCTGGAAAAGTTTTGGAATTTTGAAATAATTTTTCCAGACCCTGGATAACTTGTGGAATTCTTGGATAGAGAGGAAAAGTTATGGAAAAGTTTTGGAAACTAGCCTTGTTCATTTTTATTGATCAGTTTCCCGTTTTTGACTCCGTTTGCCTCTACCAATCATAAGGTAGGCATACGTATAATTTTAATATTGGGATTAATTTACTTAATAATTGAACGCTAGGCCTATTTGCACATTGGCGAAAGTTGTCCACCATCTGTGTTTATTAGGTAAGCAGATTGGCTATTATCGTACCGAAAATTGTAGTATTACTGTCGTGCCGTATGCGGGACGCGGAGCAGACACAGAGGAGCGGCAGTCAGGAAATCGGGGAACACGGGGTCTTTTTGTTTTTTTTTAAATAATTAATTAACTATTTTTTTTTATTTTTTTTTTAAATTGCAGGCAAGAAAACACGCAGTGATATTACAATGACCGGACTAGGGCAACAAACTGAAACGCGGACTAAATACAGAGGACTAATGACAACAATCAGATAAAGCTGATCACACGGGGATTCCACACTAGGTTAACGAGGGGGCGTGGCATCCGGAAGGAGCGGACGATCGGGGCAGGACAATTACTATCTGAAACTGCATGATCATCAAATCAAAGAAAACTTGTGGGGTTTTGAAAATTTTCTTGCGGTACTGGAAAAAATTTGGAAAAGTCATGGAAATGTATTCTGCCAGAACTGGGGGAACCCTGTTCAATGCGAATCTAGCATAAATCTATGTCATCTATGGGTTACAGTGTCACAAATGACACTTCATTGGTAGGTTCCATGGCAATACAGGCTCACTGGTGTTTTTTTTTTCCTCGGGTCGGGTCGGGTTTTGGATCATTATCCACGAGTATTTTTGCGGGTTGGGCCGGGCGGTTTGGATCTCCTGACGGGTCGGTTTGGGGCGGGTGTTAAAAAAAGCCGACCTGCGCAACACTAGTGTATACCTAAAGCCATTGCCCTCTGGTTGCCTGCATATGTTGCACCAGTTTCCCCTTAAATGCAGGGGTAAACCAAGGGTGACCAATCTTATCCAGAAAGGGCTGGTGTGTATGCAGGTTTTTGGGATAACCTTTAGGTCAGCTGTTCAAACCCAAGTGTGAGGACTCTTCAGCCGATCAGTCCTCTAATTAGTAATCTAATTAAGGAGTTGCAGCGAAAACCCACACACACAATTACCCTTTCTGGATATGATTGTCCACCCTTGGTTTAGGTGCTGCCTCACCAGTTGAGCATTTGTCGTTACCTGGGCCCTCGCTCCCTGCTCTCTGCACCCTTGTCTTGTTCCTGGTCTGTAAATCTTGTCAACTTGAGTTTTGTTCCTGATCCTGAGCCGCACAGTTTTCCTGCTCCTCTCACCTTGCCTTTGTCCACTGCTTACCTCATTACAGCCCATTTACTTGTACCTGCATCCCTGCCTCCCCAGCCTCTCCCATCACCTGTCTCTGGCAATCTGTGACAGAACGCTCCAATCCCAAACCAATAGATGCCGCCAGTCCGGGTCCTAAACCTGCTCTGAAGGCCAGGACCCTGCACCAGTTCCTGAGTGTGTCGCTGTTCCTGTACTCCAGAGCCCTGTCCCACATTGCTGAAGACCCAAGCCCTCCTTTGTCCGGTCCTGAAACCTTGTGCTCATCCTTGTCCTGTATGCCCCATACTCCTTTGTAAAAGAAGTGAACAAGATATGTTCAAGAAATAGATTTAGGTATGAACGGTAGAGATGTGTCACTGCCAATATATATACTATGCGTGTTTAGGGGGCAAGGAATTTGGGGCTGATTTGGTCCCTACCAGTGCTGAAACCAAACCTGCACCCATGGAAGTGAATGAAAAAAGTATAATGCTATCAGTTAAAGAATCTAAGTGACCATGCACGATAAGCCAGGTCCATCCATCCATCTTCCAACTGCTTATATTGGTCAGTCGTGCGGTAAAGTTGGGTTTATATAATTCCATTAATACACTACAACCATCTTCGTTTGTTGTTGTATTACCATTAAATAGGTGCCTACATCTACACCGCAATAACGACAATACGCCGCTAATAAGACACGGTTTTATGAATAAGTAAAATAACATAATAGCGGAAACAAATTACTGTTGGACAAAAATATGGGAACAGCAGGCAGGTAAGCATCAATTTTTATTTCATTCATTCATCTAATTTCTAACCGCTTATCCTGGTCAGGGGGCCTGGAGCCAATCTCAGGCTGCATCGGGCACACGGATGGGTTACACCCTGAACAGGATTCCGGTTTAGCACGGGGAACACACGCACACAGTCATTCTCCCTGGGAAATATAATGACACCAATTAGCCTGCTGCACGTCTTGGAACTGCGCGAGGAAACCGGAGTACCCGAAAGGAACCCATGTGAGACAGGAGAACGCGCAAACTCCACACACAGAGCAATCGGTCGTATTTCTGTTATCATTTCGCGTACTGTAGCCCACTACTGCCATCTGAAGTATTGATACGGTATTATTTAAAAATGATTACTTAAGCTGATGAAATGCCTATGTTTAATTAAATCACCATAACACGTCACATTCAATTAACATTTCAAATCGTATCAAGATAACTATTTCCTAAAAATTGCCATTCTGATTTCTCTGTGTCCTGTGGCTGCATTGCTACTTTCAGTCAGTAATGGTAAGGAAAAAAAATTAGTTCGCGTGATTATTTGCTTACGCAAAGGATTTCTTTTTCCTGTTCAAGAATGTATAATAATGACATGCATGGTGTGTTATTTACAATCATCTTAATGAGCAGCCATTGCTGTTGTTGTTGTTGTCTTTACATTTTTCTTGCGCTGAGGGGTGCTGATCGTGAGACACTGATGTATCAGGCCATGAACCATGCTACCACCCCAGGGGAGGGACGTCTGGCCTAAAAGACTGATGTTCATTGGCTGTAAGAGACAGCGGTCAAATTAGATGGGCGGGGCATGCTTACCACGTGACACCCTCTATATCAACACATCGGCGCCATTTTTCTAATGGTGAGAGAACCGAAGCTAGGGGGAAGCTGGAGGTGAGTCTCGGTCTTCGCCTGGGAAGCGCTGTCAAAGGTCTTAAAACGCTGACTCATAAGAGCACGAACGCAGGCTTCGGATAAGAGCATTCTGATGCCGAATGTCTTCCTTTCCTGGCCCTCTCTCTGCTTCGCGTCCGGCGAATGGGGCCTACGCGGGGCTGAAGGCAGCCCGGCTTGAAAGCCCGCATAGGCGCCGAGCGGCTGCGGCGCTCCGAGGACCCGGGCTCTCTACCGTCCCCGTTTCCGATAATCACAAGCCTGCAGGTTAATCCGTGAGGGGAAACGGCGCCGTCAGTTTGACCGCTGCCTTGAACGCGTCTGTAATTTGGCTGTTTGCTTGACTTGATGGTAATCGGCCGGTAAATTACGGCTATCGTATTAATATTTTTGCTAAAATAAATGCACCAAATGGACATTTGGGCATTTTCTCCTTTTATAAAAATAAAATTTTAGGCCGCCGGATGTACTGTACGCGCACGTTAGTGAAAGCATACCGTTATTGTACTCATTTCCACCTTCTGGCTGGTATATAAATAGTCACAGCTATGTATGTTGCTGTGCTCCACTTAAGTGTTCGACTAGCTAATGTCACGGACTGCTAGTTAATGTTTGCCCTTGCTGATATGTAATCCTCCCTCTGTTAACGGTTCAGATGACAGACGCTTCGACCTCTTTAATGGAGGTGATGTTTGTATTAAAGAGGGAAAGGGCGTTTGGTGTCGTGCGCATTTGCTTTTCAAGCCTGGGTGAGTTTACAGCTGCCGTCTTCATGCTGGTGTTACCGGAGCACGGCGTGGCCTTGTCGCCTTGACTTACACCCCACCCTTCATAATGTCATTGCTCCTGGTTGATGTTGCCCTAAGCTGGCGATGTTCTGATTGACCCCCGCGGGGTTTGCTGTGCTGTTCTGGTATAAATCAAGGAGGTGACAGTGTTTGTGGGCACTGCTAAATGTGGGAGTGTAATGGAGTCGAACTTGTTGGCTGGCGCAATACTTTGCGTCTTGTCATAATCCAGGGGCCTCTCACTCCGGTCCTGGAGAGTTACTGGCTTCTGATGAGCCGCACCTGTTCTCGGGTAAATACCAGATTACCCCCGTTATAAGTTCTGGTCTGGTTAGTATTTTTTTTTCTGGACATGAAAGAAACTATTAAAGGAATTTTAGTATTTTTAGCAAATGCCTCTGATATGTTTAGTCTTTGTTTTCATTCCTGGTCACTTCTCGCCCACTCAGGAATGGATTCAAGACCCTTTAGGCTTACATTTACACCACCCGGAGCGACTTCCCTGTCCCCCTCATCCACTCGCCTGGGAACCAGCCGTCTGCACAGCAGAGGTCGAACTCTCGCCAGTGATGGGTATACTAGGGCCTCGTCTATCAAGCTGGATTCCGATCTTGAGGTATTGAAGGAAAAGGGGGTTGACCCCCCACCCCCCATTTCCTTCATGACTGTGAACATGCAGGAGAAGGTTCTGTATTACAGTGGTACATGAGTTCACTTGTTTTTGCAATTGTTTAACGATCCTGCACCTGGGGGCACCGAATTCGGTGTATCATTGGAATTCCCTGTCCGACTTGCATGAATATGCATGTTTTTCAGTTCTCTGATAGCTAAAGATGATGATTTAACTACATTTGCCTAACTATATTGGCATATTGCCAATGTGCTTGCACTGGGTGTACATGTGTCCACTGATCTGTCAGAGGATCAGAACAGGGCCATTGATAGGAGTTCCGGTACCACAGTGTTCTTGATGTGGTTTTTACATCCTGTTAGAAGTAAACTGGCTAAGCAAGAGACAATGTGATTTAATCCAACAGAGACTGAAATTCTCTAATTATGGATTGTACTTTCATGGGAGGAGAACCAATCTTGTGTAGCGTCATCTCCTCTGGGGATTAAGCTCCCACCTCGTCTTCTGCAGCGAGGTTGTTTAGTAACCCTGTTGGTCGGCCTCGGAGCAGGAACCTTTTCGAATCCAGGTATTCAGGTTACTGCAGCTATATTAGCCCGTCTTTTTATAGCTGAGCCCAGCTCTGTCGCCGTGCACATTTCTGCCTGCCTGTCAGGAGCTGATTGCGAGGATTGGGTTACAGGGCTGTTTTTCTCAATGCCTCACTGAGGGCAATGCGAGCCAGAGACAGCATTGCGACAGATCGAGGCTTTTGGACACACGAGGCGCTGTGGGGGTGTAACGGACTCATCGGGAGAAAAACGCCCCCTCTGTTTAGGAGGCTTTTGTAACGTGGTTTCTGGAGCTAGTTTGCAGCCTGAGCTTCTGTGTAAGCATTAAGGGCTTTGAAGCGGGTCATCTTCTGGATTCCAGATGCTGTTACTGTTAAAGATTAAGGGTGGAGATGGTGCAGCTTATCTTCAAAATGGTTTCAGTTTGTGCGCTTTTTGAGGAACAGCACCCCTGAGGATAATTCGCCAACGTGGTTTGAATCGGTTAAAGCTGCAGTCACAGCAGGAGTTGTCTCTGAATAAACCCCGGCTGCTGGTGGATGGAGGACACCAGCTAAGTTTACGGTTGGTTAATTGATCCACACTGTTATACACCTGTGTTTTCCTGGGGTGATCCTGGTCAAGTTTACTGGAAGGTAGCCACCTTCCCGGAGCTGGGTGTGATCTCATGTACTACCCTTTGGGACACAGGGTTCCAGGTTCAGCTCCTCTAGAGAATATGGGATCTCCGACAGCCGCCGCTCCAGCTGGAAGGTGTCCTCTGCCTTGACAGCAGTCACGTCATGTGATCGCCCGTGGGCCGACTCCCCGGTGGGGAGCAGGAGCAGACTGGTAGGGCAGTCCCCAACAATCTGTCCAGTTGAGTCTCTGCTTAAAACAGGGATAATTACCTTGCATTTGGTCGAATGATCAAAATGATTGAAATTTATTTTCTCAAAACTTCGAAGCTGTACTGCTCAGTATCTGCGCCAGAACTCTGGGAAAATCAGTGGTGTTAATTTATAGGGTGGTTCTGAGCCACTGGGGACCTGTTCCGGCTTCCTGAACGGAACCCAGGACAGCGATATGAAAAGAGCCAAGATCTCCTATTGCAGCAGAACGCCGTTCTCCAGAGAGCCATGCTCACCCGTGCTGAGTGGAGCCTACTGCAACCCGGGTATGGGCTGATCTCGGTGGGGGGGTGCCCTGTCATGTAGTGCTCATTTAACATGTGTGTGGTAATATGTATGTTATTGGGGGCAAGAGAATTTTGTTTTGTTTTTAACCTGGGGGTGGAGATGTTTGGTCAATGAGTAACTTTGTTTTTAACTTTTATTTTTCTTTAATGTACGTGGGAATAACCAATATGACCCCTCTGTTTAGATCCGTCATGGCAGGTCCGCAGCACCCGCTCCCGATCCTCATCCTCGTCTCCCTCCGAGGGCGGGTGGTCCCGTCGGGAGCACGATGGTCTCTCCATGCAGGCCCCCAGGGCGGCTGGCCTGGCATCCTCGCTGTGTGCGTATACACGCCCCAAGTGTATTTGCTTGCTTGTTATTCTGATAAAATGCATTGTTCCTTTTGGTTCGGCTGAATGGAATGATCCGGATGGGAATACGGTAGTTGCCCCCGTTAGTAGCTCTCATGCCGGGCTCATTCGGTATCGACTTCTGACTCAGCATCTGGCTCAGCGTTTCAGTGACCTTTCGCCTTCACTTTGTGGTTGCGGCGATAAATGCATGGCGGAGAATGCGTGCGCTGTTATTGCGAGCTCCCCCCGTGTGTTGAATGCGCAATGGGACGTAAACGGCTCTACTCGATAACCGTGTAAAACTAGACATGGTTACTGGGCCTGATCTCTCAAGTTACCATGACGGCATGAACCGATCAGCTGTCAGGGTGATGAGTTGGCATAATTTCTAAGGTGTTTTTGATCTTGGTTTTAGTACATGGTGTTCTGCAGGAGTGAGATGGAGGGACATCTGTACTGCTTGGTGTATTGGACACTTTGTGATGCATTACATAAAAAGGATTCTTCACAAAGTCAGATTAAGATGCTTTGTTCTATACAATGGTGTAATACTACAGTTTTGTGTGTTAAAGTTGCTTCAGCCTGTGGAGGATTTTTTGGACCACAGATGGGGATATTTGCTGTAACGGCACACTAACTATATATATATAGTGCCGGTAGTCTGAAAATGTGTGTGGGTGATGTTATGTAATGTTTCCTCCCCCCATGTTTGGTTGCCATGCAGATCCTGAGCGTGCGGTGTCATCTTACGCACAAGGAGCCCGGCCAAAAGAGAGCTTCACCTCGGGTCAGGCCAGTGCCACGACCCGGCGCCGGACCGGCCACTATGAACCGTCCCCGCTGTCCCGTGACCCATGCAGACCTGCCACCCCTTGGGCCGGACCATCCCGCTCCCGTTCCTGGTACACCAGCTCAGCGGGGTCGTCAGAGACTACTGGCAGCAGCACCAGTGCCCCCCGCAGGCAAGCAGCCGACAGCGGGAGTCCCGAGGGGCGATGTGCCACCAGGCAGCTGCTCTCCCGTCTGGCCAGCAGCATGTCCTCCACGCTGTTCTCCCGGAGGCCCAGTCAGGACTCCAGCAGCTCTGACTCTGCATCTTGCTCCTTCGACTCCTTGGAGGACTCTGCCGATGCCCAGCGAGAGGAGAGCTCCCCAACCAGCGCCAGCAGTAGCAGAAATAGCAGCACCGATTCTTCCCAAGGCCTGCCTTTCCTTCGCCGTCGCCATCACGCGGTGCGGGAAACGCACGCCGCCGAGGCCGACCCAGAGCCTCCAAGGGCGGGAACCTCCTGGCTATCGTCTTCCCTGAGGAGCCGTTGCACCCCTCTGTTTTCCTGCAGGAGGCGGGAGGGCCTCCAGGAAGATGAGGCACGACAGCCGTATCGGAGCTCCCCTTTCCCTTTGCGGAGACGGGCTTCTCCGGAAACCAAAGCCACCGATCAGGAAGAGGGAGAGGATGACGAGGAGGAACCTGAAAGCGCTGGAGTAGTGGGGTCACCAGGGGCCACGGGGGCCTCAAACACCACTGTGCCGTGTCCTCCGCACGCAGGCAGAGCCCGTCGGATGGCCGGGGTCACACCCAACTCTCTGTTCCACGTCTCTGTGTCGCCCTCTCTGGAGAGCTCACTGCCTGACAACGTGATGATCACAGTGGACATCATGGCTACTGGGAGAAGTGGCCCTGAGATGGAGAAGCCTTCCTCTTCACGGGATCCTGAGAAGCTCCGGAAAATAAAGGAAAGGTAAACCGGGGAGGGAAGCTTAGCACCCAAGTGACGGGGAGGAAATTGATTTCAGTCTTTGTGTGACTGGAGCAGGGGAAAAATACCGTAAGTTTTTGGTATGATCAGCCATACTGAATTCCTGCCCCCTGCCCCCGTCAGCCTGTTGCTGGAGGAGTCTGATGAGGAGGGTGACCTTTGCCGAATCTGTCAGATGGCGGAGGAGTCACCCTCCAACCCACTGATCGCGCCGTGCCGGTGCACTGGGAGCCTGCAGTATGTTCACCAGGACTGCATGAAGAAGTGGCTGAGCTCCAAGATCAGCTCAGGTAAGGGCTGTGCTGGTGCACCAGTGCAATCACGCGGACGTGGGTCCGGCCCTATCCGTTCACCGTTAATGTGAGACTGTAACTGCGACTCCCAGGTTCTGCCCTGGACACCATCACCACGTGTGAGCTGTGCAAGGAGAAGCTACAGCTCAACATCGACAATTTTGACATCAATGAGCTGTACAGGATGCGTGAGAGGGTAAGGAGTGGGTAGGGGGAGGAGGACTACCCCAAATAAATGAAGCCATGGATGGACCCCTGAGGAACCTCACTGCTATCTCTGTTTCTGCCCCACAGTCAGAGAATGAGTTCATAAGCTGCGGCCTCTACCTGGTGGTCCTACTGCACCTGTGTGAGCAGCGTTTCTCGGATGTACTGGGAGCGGCCAATGATGCCGGGGTGAGAGATTGGGAGCTGTGCCGCGTTCGGGCCTACACCTCTCATGTGAGGGATTTACACGTGTAAATAAGGTTTTCACTGCTTAACGTCTGATTAGTGAGTGTGCGAAGGAATGCGGCTGAAAACTCTCTCCCTCTCGCCCAGTTTTTCAACATGGCGAGAACTCTTCATGAGTACATGGACGAGCTCGAAAGTATGTTGAATCTCCTTTGGGTGGTCTTTATGTGGTCGTAAGTGTGTGTCACAGCCTGGGTGGTCTGCATCCGGGTGTCCATCGATCATGCGTGTCAAGGGCCCCGTAAGGTTACAGATCGGGTTCACAGACACTGAACTAAATGCGATAGGGGCTTTTTTAGTCTTGAAGGCACACAATCCGTAAGTACCGCAGGTTACTGAAATGCTAAGAGAACCTTTATTTTGCCTCTTAAGTGTGCAGGAAACTAGGCCATGCAGGTCGGAAGTCGTAATAAAAACGGCTTCTTATCTTATCATGGTCAGTGTCATTTGACTTGCCTGATCTCAACCTATTTCACAAATTAGGTTTGCTCGTTTGGTCGTGCGGGGTGGATATCCTAACCTGACCCCCCCCCCCAGGCTCGAACGGAGACTCTGAAGAAGAGGTGCCAGACCGCAGGCCTGCTATTCACTTCTGCGACTTGGATGACGACGATGATGAAGAAGATTATTGAAAAGCCCTCTGACCTTTTGAGTTTTCCGGCAAATTTTTCAGTGCTGATGTGCTTTCTTTTCTTTTCTTATGTATAGCTTGGCAGAAGCAAGCCTGCGGCATTGAACTCTTGACTTGTTTTCCTGTAGGGGTTCTATCGCTGATTTAAATGTGATTAGGTTGTTTCCCCCACCCCCATTGATTGTGTGAGGTCTGTTCATATGAATGATAGACTGATTGACCACTAGCCATATAGACAGGAGTTCTGGTGTAAAGCTACCGTGTCATTGTCTTGCCCCAAAGGTGACTTTCACCAGTTTTCATTCACCTTCCCTTGTCAAATTAAGGTAAAAAATGAAAGATGGGTTCTTTACTTATTGTGTGTTGCTTTAATTACCTGAATTGTGGGTGGGGGGGGAGAGATCTGGGGGAAAAAAGCAATTTTTCACCACTGAATTATAGTGATGCTGTTTGTCAACCTTTTGCCTGCTCTTTAGGTTGGGGTATAAAATGTCATTTCCTTGGTGAAGCTGGTTGTTCATGTTTTAATAATTAAAATTTAATAAATAAAAATCTGATGTACAATATGTCAATTGCTGGTTAAAGAAACGGCAGACGTAGCCTGCCTTATTCCTTTTTGCCTGTAGGGACATCTGGCCCCAAATCTGGTCAGAAAATAGAATTCTTTTATTTCATCCACAGTGGACTGTTTTTTTTTTTTTTTTGGGACAGTTCCAATATAGCAGTACAAAGCACTTAAAACCAGACCTATTCTAGGGGAATTTGAGGCAAGACTTAAACCTTAACACCCCTTTTATGCCTTGTCCACACATACACGGGTATATTTTAAAACTGTGTTTTTCCTCCTCCGTTTAAAAAAAAAAAAAAATCCCAGTCCACACGAACATTGTCTTCTAAAATACTTCTGTCCACATGAAACTGCTAAAATGCACTGTAATGAGCATGCCAAACCAACAGGTGGCATTATAACTCTAACCGCACTGCCCTGTTAGCCAATCAGAAGCCTAATTGCCAGTCCTGTTAAGTTGAAAACCATGGAACACATTCCGACACCTGTGTTGATCAATATTTACACTTATGCAAGTCGCTCTGGCTAAGGGCATCTGCCAAATGCTGTAAATGTAAATATAATGCGAGAGTGACTCAACATTTATCTGTACACATGTCAGAAGTCCTGTCAGCAAAGTTAGCTCAAGCACTATTTCGTGTCCGCCATTGCTCAAACTTGCCTAATGTATACAGCAAACAGCGTGCGCTCTGACGTCAAAGTGGACAACGACGCACAATCTGACGTTTCGAGCCAAAAACTCGGTTTTCCCTGTCTACATGTCGACGCTGAAAACGGAGTTTCTAAAAATCTTCACCCTGGATGGAGTTTTGCAAAATCTACGTTTTCAGTGACCTGAGACGCCGTTTACGTGTGGACAAAAGCCCAAGACGTATAGAAAAAGGTACGTTTTAAAATATACCCGTGTACGTGTGGACAAAGCATTAGTCAATGTTTAGTTCAGGGGTAGCCAATCTTATCCGCAAAGGGCCGGTGTTTATGCAGGTTTTTGGGATAACCTGTAGGTCAGCTGTTCAAACCCAGGTGGGAGGACTCTTTCAGCCAATCAGTCCTCTAATTAGTAATCTAATTAGGGCGTTGCAGCAAAAACCCGCATACACACCGGCCCATTGCGGATAACATTGGCTACCCCTGATTTAGTTGAACTAGGACAGTTTTGTTTGGGGTAACAATACCCTGAGAGAAATTTCTCTGCACTGTCAATCACTGTGTTAGGCTGTACCTCATTGGTTACTTCAGATTCCCCCTGGGTTGAAACAAGCGCTGACTGATGTTCTGCTCACCTTGGGTTTCAAAGCCCTGTTTCTGTCCTTCATGGGTAAGATTTGCTGCAGCATTCTAATTCTTAAGCCTAATTTTATGCCTTAAAAAAAAAAAAAAAACCTCCAAGACGTTCTGGAAAATGTGACATGGAAATAGGTTTCTTCAGGGTTTTTTTGTAGGTTTGGTGGGGTATGGAGGTGAGGTATGGTTGTTGCCCTTGCTGTTCATTTGTAACAGCTGTAGTCTCTCACTTTTGCTTTGAACACCAGCCTTATGTGGCTCTGTGGCAGTTGGTGCTTCTGACCAATAGCGTTGCTGCTGTACTTCACTGCAAAGTGTTGCCCTCTTAATTGTGAAGGCTCTGTGATGGTTACTGTGATGAAATCTGAGTGAGAACCCGCAAATTGGGTAAATCTGTGAGCACTTTCCATTTCTCCTGATGCTGTAATGAGCAGGACGGCCACATGACAGTTCCAACAGCTCAAGCCGGGGATGGGGCTTTTACATTCGAACAAACAGCAGCAGAAACTTCCTTTGTCGAGCGTTTGCAGGTTGGCGAGCGAGCCAGTTGATTCACCTTTCCTGTGATCTATTCGTTAATCTCACTCTGCTGCTTTGCATTACCTGTGCTCTCCATCCATGACTGGCAGACTTATTACAAGATGACAGATTACAAATTGGGGTGAGATGTTTTAATCCTTGATTATTACTGTGGATACACTGACAAAAGATAATGCTTACTATTCTCTGACAGGCCTAGCAAGTGCAGTAACGGCCTAAATCCTCCAGCATGGGAGAAGGTTCCCAACTAATGTTCCAGAATGATCTTCCTGAATACTGATCCAAACCCAGAGAACACAAAATACCACTCAAGTGTTCTTTAAAGGAAGTTTATTGGAAGACCAAATGGAGGCAAAAAAAAATAATTTATGTTTACGGAGCCATATTAATAGGAGTGTGACTTTGCAGGCTGATCAATACACGAGGAATGTCACTGCTAAGATTGAAAAGCATCTTTGGTTTAGATTTTACGGATATTTTAAAATAAGTTCAACTATTTACAAAAGTACCCACGACTGTACAACAAGTGCAATTTTAGGCATTTTTCTCCAAATATTTGTGCTTAAAAGTTCAGATAGTACCAATAAGGGCACAAAGTGAAATCTTAAAGTGCTCAGAACCTGCAGTAGTTTTAGTGCATATATCAGTTATATAAACACGGCCTATGAATGAACTTTTACACATGAAATATTTCAATCAATGATTACAAGGCTTGTGCAGGACGCGTGCTGAGTGCAGACTCAGTCCTATGGTTGGCTGTTATATGGCTTTAGATTCTGTAATTGTACACAACTTAGCAAAATGCAAATAATTCCACTTCACCATTTAAACACGTACCTAAGTCAAACCGCACAATCTGCTGGGACAGACAGTATTTCGATTTCTGCGAGTCGCAGCGAGACAAAGTTGCTGCTCATCTCTGAGTACTATACACTCATACAGAAGGGTTAAGAAATTAAAATTATCTACACTTATATAATCATTAAAATCCTCCACAGAAAAAATGACAAAATTACACAAAAAAGAAAAATTAAAAGAGCATCCTCAGTGCTTCTGTTCAAAAGCCAAAGAAAAAACACCTGATCAGCTGCATAGTCATGAGGGAGAGGAGTGCAGTTGCTCAAATGACCTGACGTGAAGGGACATTGATGGGTGGGTGGGGCTAAAAGCAGATAGCAGATCCCCCTGTGAATGTTCTCCCCAGTGGAGCGTTGAGGGATTCTGGTGGCAGACACACCCGTGCAAGCTTCTCAGCCACCAGCTGACGTGACGCCAACGTGAAGGGCTTCCTTCCATTTCACACGTACCACAGGCGACTCACTCCGTCTGCGTTATGATGCTCGTGCTGTCGGCCTCGTCGAAGTTCCTCTTGTACCGCACTGTCGAGGAGAACCGGGCCCGGCTCTTCCTGTAGATGATGAATGCAGCCACGCCAACTAGTATGACGACGATGATGATGAAGAAGACCAGTGCGACCGGGGAACCTTTGGAGTCTGCGGAGCAAGCACACGGGATGGGTTACCAGATGGGACCGGCACATTCAGGGTAGCATTTGTGAGGTGGAGCTCGTCAACAGCCCCAAGGATGCCAGCCAACCAGAATTACCTGCTTGGCAGATGCCGTTTTAACTCCACTCCACTAGGGAATTAACCGGTCGACCCGCTTGTACAAGTACAACATATTTAACAAAGACTTTAAAGAACAAGTATCAAAGGCGGAGAGCAGCCAGACGGGGCCTGACCAGGTGGACAGGGAGACACTCACAGGCAGGTGCTCTGCAGACGGCACGGCCAAGGCCTTCCCGGCAGCTGACGTGGCTCCATGCGCCTCCCCTGGCGGACATGAGGACGCCGCAGACGGGCTCGGTCTGCAGGCTCCCCGCCACGCCGCTCTCCCAGTTGGAGTAAACCTCACTAGCGTCCGCTGACTGACCTACAGCAGGAACACGGGGGAAGACACAGTGGTGATGCGCGTCTGTCACGCTTAGAATGAATACGCCATCTGTGCTAGAACACGCTGGGGGGCAGGGCAGCTTTCTGCACGAGGGCTAAGGCTGCTAACCCGTCACTAAATGTGCTTTTTGTTTCTGATTAAATACGTCTCCTGTTTTGAGGCTGACGTTTTCAGTGCATAGGACTGACCTCAGATACAGCCCACAAGCAAGGGAGAGTTCAAAACCTTTGGAACAGAGACACACGAGGGTACATGCAGATCTCCCACTTTGGGAAGCAATCCCACAGGAATCACTCCATCGTACCCGGGGAGCTGAGATTGGTGCTGATCCAGACGCGGCTGGTGATAAATGGGTTCTCCGACACGTATCTCGATACAAAGTCATTCTCCTTGCTGTTGTGGATGGCCAGCAGTTCAGCAGAGTTGCCTATGAGGGAACAAAATCCATGCAGATACAGTCACACTGCAACAGGATTTTCCTGCCCTCTTGTTTTTTGCAGCAGTCCTGCATTACAGTGCCAGTAGGGGGCAGAGTGGTTAAGGGCACTTACTCTTCTGTGCATATCAATGGCCTAGACACATGGCAAGAATTATTATACACTTACTCGATGGTCAGGTGCAAGCAAATTTCTTTCATATTAATTATAAATAATTTCAACATTTAACATCTTTATACTGGAAAAATTTCATATGACAACAGCAACTCTATGCTATTTGGCCAAAGTTTCAGATTATTATTGAATGGTCCATAGATAATGAACTGCAGCCTACAAATACTGTTAGTAACACCAAGTGGTCAGTGATCGGGTGCAGCAAGGTACTATGGGGGTTGGTGGTGGGGCCCACCTAGCTGTTTGCAGGCTGCTCTGGCATCCTGCATGGTGAAGATGCTGTAGTTGAAGAAGGCCATGTCGAACATGTAGCAGTATTCCTCGTACTGGACCCACTCAGAGGGGCCTACAGACTGGGGGCAGCCAGTTCCTGCCTCGGCGGACCGCTGGCTCAACCCTGTGGATGCAGAGAGCTCGGGTCACCTGGGGCAGTTCTGTGTCTGACCAGCAGGTGGAGTAGCAGTTAAGTGGGTGAGCGTAGTTCAGCTCTTGTACAATGTGTATAACATCACTGCAGCCAGCAGGGGGCGTCACCAGAGGTGCCTACAGTGAGCACTGGCATTGTAGCAGATGGCTCCCTCCAGCTTGGCCTGGCAGTCCACAAACTCCC